GGGATTGAACTGAGGCCGTTGCGCTTGCCATGGAAGCACTTATTCTACTGAGCCATCACCCCAGCCCCATAAGCCCCTTTTTCACAGCCACAGAAGCAGCACAAACCAGCAAGAAGGGGTGGGCGAGGCTAGGTGTGGCCAGGGATGTGGCAGGCTGTAGAGGACACAGCCCACAGGCCCTGTTCCGTGGCTTCCCAGCCCTGGCCAGCCTGCCCCCTCTTTCCCTACAGGAGAGGCTCCCAGGAGGCCGTGGAGGTGCTGCAGACAATGCCTGGGCCCAGGGTATCCTGCAGATGTGTGCTCCAGGCAAGAGGGACGCCTCTCCCACATCCCCGCCCAGGTACAGGGTTGCAGGCTGCTGATGGTGCCTTGCTCCCAGCTGCAGAAGGACGCCGCCTCCCCGTGCCTGAGGTCTCGGCCTGGCTGTGCCTGCATCCTGGTGTCTGGTTCCTGATCAGGTGTGTGCCCTGCAGGCCTCTTAGAGAGCCCTGGCGGCACCAGACAAGGTGGCTCCTCTCCGCAGTGGGGAAGGGGCTGGGGGCACAATGGGCCCAGGCTGTGTGTGGAGACAGCTCCCAGCAGAGGCCCCAGGTGGCCCCAGGTGCCAAGGGTGAGAGGTAAGTGCGGCCAGGAGTCTCTTTCACCTCCTTTCTCCTCACTCGCGCTGCCCTCACATCCCACCCCCAGCACCAGGGACTTACCAGAGAAACCCCATCCCAGCCCAGGCTAGGGAGGCTACTTGCTGTCATCCGGAAGCCAGCCACTGGCAGCCACTAACCAAGGGCCCCTTCCCAGATGGAGAGATGGTCACTTCCGGGGGCCCATGCCAGGCTCCACACGCTGATAGATTTCTATTCTCAGGCTCCAGCCTCCTGCTCAGCCTGAAAACCACACCCAGGCTCACCTCAGGAGGACGAGAGAAGCCTGGGAGGGGGCATCGGCAGGGCAGGCAGCATCCCGAGGGTCTGGTGGTGCAGAACAGAGTCTGGGCTGTCCCAGGTGCTCCCTAAAGCAGGAAGTCTGAGCTGGGCCCACTGGCAGGCCGGCCTCGGCTTCTCCCATGGTAGTGCTTGCTGGGTCGCAGAGCAGGAGAGGGGAGTCAGGTGGGACCCACCACACTCAGTGGCCAGGCCTCCCTCTCCCTTGGGAATGGAGCAAGTGAAGTGCACCTCCCTGGTTGTCCATGTCCAGCTCAGGTCAAGGTTCACAGCCAGCTCAGGGACTTCATGAGGGCCCTTCTGGTGACTTCACAACTATATCCAAAGGGAGGTCCAAGAAGGCAGGGGCCCCAGGTGACCAGGAAAGCAGACTTTGCATGTGGCCACCTCCGAGAGCATCAAAACTCCCAACCCCCCACCTACCCTACTACCTTTTCTTCTTTCTTTCTTTCTTGTAATTTTTTTTTTTTTTTTGAGGGACCGGGGATTGAACTCAGGACCCTGTGCTTGCCAGGCAAGCGCTAATTCTACTGAGCTGTCTCCCTGGCCCCTTACCCTTCCTTCTTGAAGTCCCTGTCATCATTCACTGTCTCCACAGCAACAGTCACACTGGCTAGGCAGTGGTACTACTCACCTGTAATCTCAGCACTCCAAAGGCTGAGGCAGGAGAATCTCCATGCATCTGAGACCAGCATGGGCCAGTCTGAGGCCAGCTACCTACTGAGACCCTATCCCTAAAAAACAGAGAGAGAGCACACAAGTGACCAGCAACTAAAATGGTATTGTTCACTAAGTACTAGATGAAATAGGGGTGCTGTGGAGAACCTGCTCTTTGCTGGAGGTCAGGATCCCTTGCATGGATGAGCCTGGTATAGGGTCGCATGCACTGGGCACTGAGGGACGTTCAGACTGCAGGATGGCAGGCGAGTACATGATGGCAGACGTAAGGAGAGAAGGAGAGGCTGGAGACAGAGCTCAGTGGCACAGCGCCTGCCTGGCAAGTGCAAAGTCCTGAGTTCACTTGCCAGTACCAGGTCGGGGAGATGGCTCAGTAGAATAAGTGCTTGCCTGGCAAGCGCAAGGGCCTGAGTTCAATTCCTGGTTCTGAAAGGGTACCTGTGAGGCTGGGGAGATAGCTCCGAGGTAGCTCAAGGACCTGGGTTCGATCCCCAGTACTGCATGCCATGCCAGCTGAGGCAGAAGGATCACTATGAGCCTGAACTGTGTGGCGAGACCCTGTACCAAATAAATTTTTTTTAAAAAAGATTTTGAGACTGGGCGTGGTGGCACATGCCTGTAATCCCCGCTCTTGGGAGGCTGTAAACAGGTGGATCACTATGAGTCCAATCTAGTAGTGAGACCCTGAACATCCTGTAGACCCTTCCATAAAATAAAAAATAAAAAATTTCCAGTACTAAATAAGTAAATAAAAGACACGATGATGAAGAAGGAGGAGGAGGAGGAGAAGGAGAAGGAGGAGAAGGAGAAGGAGAAGGAGAAGGAGAAGGAGAAGGAGAAGGAGAAGGAGAAGGTTTTTTTTTTTTTTTGGTTTTTTTTTTTTTAATGTATTTGGTTTGCTACAGGGTCTCACTATGCAGCTCTAAGCAGGCACTTACTCCACCGAGCTTACTCACCAGCCCTAGTGTGAAGCTTTTAGATGTGAGGGCGACCTGGCTGCAACATCTGTCACCCCACTGATCATCAGGGTTGATTCGGCTGATCTGGCTGGCTAGGCGGGTGTCCCCTTCCTCCCTCAGCGCTCCATGTGCATCCCTCCCAAAGCTGTGTGCTTGGTCGAAGAGGATAACCACTCCTGACAGATAAGGACTGCCCCTTGGTCAAGGGTTTACCAGTAGCTGCGCTCCCCTGCTAGGGCTTCCAAACAAGCTCTCATGGTATGAAGTTTTTTGTTTTGTTTCGTCTTGTTGAGACAGTCTCACTATGTGTCTATCCCAGACTGTCCTTGAACTCCAAGAGATCCTCCTGCCTCAGCCTCCCGAGTGCTAGGATCACAGGTATGTGCCACCAGAGCCAGCTTTTGGTGTGAAGATGCTTTAAATTGAAGACATCTGAGATTGAACAGATGCAGCAAGAAGCCGCTTTGGAGCATCTGCCATCAGATCAGAGGCCGGAACTTCTAGGCACAGCACTGACGATAAATCTCTTCTCTGTGAAGGGCCAGTTCGTCTTCCATTGGGAACTAGAACAAAACTGCCACAGAGCCCAGGGACTTGGGGAGCCCTACCGAGAAGACAGCCGACCACTTGCTCCTGGGGAAGGCACTTGCTGTGGAGAGGAAGATGCTGGCTTCATGCGGGAGCGTCGAGGTAGGCACAGGGAAGAGGATGGGGCTCCCTGTGGACACAACAAAGAAAAGTAAGGGGGGATATTTCCTAAAAGGAAGCACCCTGGAGCTGAGCAAACAGGGTGCTCACTATGGGCCGCAGGAAACAGACGCCCCAGGAACAGCGCTCCCAGGAAGGGACTCAGCCCATATGGGCTCCGATAAGGACCCCAGGTGTAGGTGGGCTGGGCTGGCTGCAGCCGGGATTTCAGGCCAATCTCACTCAGCAGGGCCCTACTCACATCGGGCACCGTGGAGGTAACCCAGGCATTGCAAATCAGAGCTGAAGCCAGGGATGTGGCCTAGCGGCACAGTGCCTGCCTGACAAGCATGGGGTCCTGAGTTCAGTTCCGGGTACCAAAGAAAATCAGAGAGGAGTGGAAACAGTGTCCAGAGGGGAGCAGAGACGCTGGTCTGCGGCTGATCTCCACGCCGGCTGACACCCTGTGGGGGCTGCTGGCTCGCTGCTGTGTCCCTGAGCCCTGTGCACTCCCGCGGCTCCTCTCCAGGAAGTCCCCCATCCCACTGCCCCTCAGTGAACGGAAAGGGCCTGAGAACCAGAGGAGGCAGAGAGGGACTTGCAGGGCAACAGACAAGAACTGGGACATGCTAGGCGGCGCCTCGCTGCGGTGGATGTAATCACTATGCTCCACAAACAGGGACTAAGACATTTTTTTTTTTTTTCCGGAACCAGGGATTGAACTCAGGCCCTTGTGCTTGCCAGGGAAGCACTTATTCCACTGAGCCATCTCCCCAGCCCCAGAAAAATGTTTTAAATTTTAAAAAGAAATAAAGAAAAAGGGGCCGGGGAGATGGCTCAGTGGAATAAGCACTTCCCTGGTAAGAGCAAGGGCCTGAGTTCAATCCCCGGTTCTGCAAAAAAAAAAAAAAAAGAAATAAAAAAAAAAGAAATAAAGAAAAAGATGGGATTTTTCTAACCTGAAATGTACTCTACTAAGCAAGAATAAAAACTGCATTGCCTGGTCTAGCCCTTCTAATGTCAGGAAAATAATGATCCCTGGTTCATATGCATATGAATGAAGTCATCCTTTTTTTTTTTTTTTTTTTTTTTAAATGGAGACAGGGTTTCCATAAATGTCTAAGTTGCCCAGCCTGGGCTCCAACTTGCAATCTTCCTGCCTCAGCCTCCTGAGTGCTGGGATCGCAGTCAGGCACTCAACCTTTCTTATTCTGATCTAACCACACTTTACTGAGCACTCTCTATGGAGCAGGTTCCGGACCAGACCTATGTGAGGCAAATCAGGCAAATCAGGCTGGGTTTGGTGCAGGGGCTTCCTGTAAACAAGAGAGGCAGGGGCCAGGAGATAGCTCAGCAGTCTAAGCACCTGCCTGGAAAGCTCAAGGACCCGGATCCAGGCATGGTGGTGCACGTAATCCCAGCAGGGAGGCTGAGCTAGGAGAATCACTGAGTCTGAACTGCGTAGCAAGACCCTGTACCAAATAAATAAATAAATAAATAAATAAATAAATAAATAAATGTTTAAAATTTAAAAACAAGGGAGGCAGAGGAAGAGGCCTGAAGCAAAGGAGGTTGGAAGGTGACATGGACCAGAGTGCTCGGGGCCGTGCCCGCCCCTGCCAGTGTCGCTGTGGGCATCAGACAGCTCCAGGCAGCACAGCTCCTTCCTGTTCCTGAGGAATTTGTGTCAGGCCAACACTGGCCCAGCAAGGTGATGCAGCCTGTCACTGCCAAGGTGACACGTTCACCCAGTTCCCTGTGGGGTGAGCGGCCACCCATGTCCCAGTCCCCAGCCTGGCAAGTGTAAACCTCTCAGAGGAGCTTGCATGGACGAGCTGGCTGCCACCTCTCAGCATCCAGCTAGAGGTGACAACATTGGGCTGCTCCCAACGTAGCATCTGAGTGACAGGAACGCGACAGCAACCAGGGCATGGGCTGGGCCCTGGCCCCACTCTGGCCCCTCTCCCTTAGGCACAGCCAGGCCTCAGTTTCTCCAGAAGTAAAATGGGATCACAGGTGACCTCCAGGGCCATCTGGGGGCTTAGAGGAGACTGAATGACTAGTGCAGGTGGCAGCCAACAGCCGTGGTGTCACATCTCCCAGCCCCCAGGAATGTGTCCCCCAGCCCCAGATGCCAGTGTGCTCCCAGGATGCAGGCACCTGGGGGCAGTGGTGTAGGGCAGCAGGGAGCAGGGCTAGCACAACCCCACCGCCAAGGTTCCTACCAGCCCGCAGCTGACCGTGTGGCTCTGGGCTCTGCTGCAGTGGCGGGCGCTGAAGGCCCCGTTAATTCAGCAGTCATTTTAATCAATTACATGAAGTGTGAAATAAGCACTGGCTCTGAACAGGAAATGGGCCCGTCCCTCCGGCTGTATCAGAAAGACATCAAGACAGAAAGATGCGTGCCCTGCGGGGCCCTCGGGGAGGCTGGCACTGGAGAGGCATCTGTCCCTCTATCTGCCCCACAGCCACCAAGTCGAGGACCCAAGCACCTCCAGACCCCCAAGGCCACCCAGCGGCTGCAGCTGCTGTGTCCTAGGGGTGGCTGCTGCATCCCCTGGGCCCTGAGCCCAGATCTGCCCCCTCCCCTGGGTCAAACGCTGAGCAGAAGGCTGTGCACCTCCTTAAACCCAGGCCTCCCCAGCAAACCCAACACAGCCACTGACCACAGACTGCCAGAAGCCCCATCCTCTTCCCTGCTCATGTGGAGGGCCCATCTCCCTCTTTTCTAGCAGCTAGGTTTTATTTTGCTCTTTATCTGATTTTACATTCTTTACATAAGGGAAACCAAGCAACACTGAAGCTTGCATGTCGGATTTATTTCATGTAGCATCGTAGTCTCAAGGGGCTTCTGTTTTCCCACACATGCCTCCAGCTTATCCTTCTTTTCAGCATAGTAGTACTCTGAAGTGTGTGAATGCCACACTGTCTTTCTCCATTCATCTGTCGATGAGACTACACGCTGCTCCGAGATGCAGCTACATGGGCAGTTCTGCTCTAAGCATGGGTATGCACAGATCCCTGAGTTATGGTGTCTTTAACTCTTTAGGGGAAGAAATCTAGAAAGAGAATAGCAGAGTCCAAGGGAATATCTAGATTCCATTTTTTTGAGGAGTCTCCTCACTGGTCTCGGTGACTACTTGTTTACATTCCCCCCAACGACATAGGAGGACTCCTTTCAACCCACACCTCACCAGCATGTGCTATTATTTGATTTCATGCATCTTCTGTACAGAGCTTGCTGACTGCATTGCCTCCTGCCAGTGTGATGACATGTGTCACCTTGTGTCCACCGTGGGTGGCTGCAACCTCAGAAGCAGCTGGTCCTGGCTAACTGTGGGCTCAGCGTGTCCCCTGCACTTCACTCCAGGTTCTCCCTGTGCCAGAGGCCAGTCCCAGAGAGGCCACACGGGGCAGCCCAGCCCCTCGGCCGTGAGACACATTAGAGAAAGGAGAGCCCCCAGGATTTAGTGCCAGGGGAGCCCCAAGTGTCTCACCAGGGCCAAGTTAAAGCAGCTGAGCTGTGCAGGGGCCCCTCTGTATGGGCAGGGCTCAAAAGCTACACAGGCTGCTGCCAAGCATCAGACAGAGTGTGGCAGCCTATCTGGGACTGCAGCCTATCTGGGACTGCCTGGCTCAAACGGCCCAGCAGTGTCACAGCCCACAGAGCAAGGACAGAGGAGGCGCTGAGCCCAGCTGCTAAATGGGGTATCTGCCATGGGCTCGTTGAATCGTGACAGGGAAGGCTCCCTGGCCACATGCACATCTGCCCCACCCGGCACCCTAAGGAGCCCTAAGGCTCCATTGCTCCTATCCAGGATGGCTCCCAAACTATTTAATCACTGGGGTGGCTCCAGCGCAGACAAATCAGACACCAATGCCTGGTGTCCGGCTGTGGGCATCTCTGCACCCATGACTCTACCCACATTGCCTGCCAGCCCACCTGGGCTTCCCAGTGGGACCCTAAGCCATGGAGTCATAGTGACAGCAGTGGTAGTGGTGCCCAGAATGCCAAGTGCTAGAATGTCCTCATGCTTCCTACCAGCCCCTGCTCTGGGCATCCTGAGTTTAATCCTCCAGATACAATAAGGAAGTGGTATGAGCACCAAAACTACCCGCAAATACGTCCACTGAAGAATGCAGTGACTGTCGTACCTGGTGTCTCGGACCCCAGTGCCCCCATGCTCTGCTCTAACAATGATGTTTCCCTTTAAGATAAACAGAACATGAGCCAGGTGTGGTGGTGCATACCTATAATGCCAGGATCAAGAGGCTGAGGCAGGAGCATCACTGGAAGTGTGAGGTCAGAATGAGCTACATAGTGAGTTCAAGGCCAGTCTGACTACATAATGAAACTGTCTCAAAAAGACAAAAAAAAAAAGAGTACAAAATAGTCCCCCATGCCTTCAAGCACATGCACACGGGTGATTACGAGCAGAATCTATGTGGACCCCTGCATCCCGATGTCTCAGGAAGGATAGTGAACATATACCACTTCCCCAGTGCCAGACAGGTCAGGGGTTGGCACCTTTGATCTGGTCAGAAAGTTAACTTGAAGCCTGAAGAAACAGCACCCTTAAGTCACAGCTCTGCCAAGAGACAAGGCTGAGATCGGAATTTTCATCTCTCAGCCGTGGAAGCTCGAAACGCACAGAACCGGAAATATTTTCCTCTCTTGAGAGAGAAAACAAGAAGGCAGACCAGCGGGACCAGCAGCCCCAGGCACAGGGCTCCGCTTGCTCATTTGACAGGGAAACTGAGACCCAAGCCCTGGGGCTTCCTGGGGCTCACTCAAGCAAGCTCCCACCCTCGTCTCCCCGCTTACAGAGGCAGCGGACACCCTGCTCTCTCCCACTCCTGCTCTGGTTCCCCTGGGAACGGGCTGACATTTGCCACTGTGAGCCTGCACACCCCCCTCCCTGAAGCCCAGAGCTAATTGTCCTGATTTCCTTCCAAGAGCGGCCTCTCAGAATCGCCTTCGCGGGCACAATCAGGCAGGTTCAGCTTGACTTTCACACTCCAGCTCTGAAAAATCAAATCAGCCAGGAAGCAGCGCCTCTTGGAAGTTTTCTGAGAGCTCTTTTGTGCCAGAACAAAGCGTGCACATAATTACCTGCTTAGCTGATGAGCTCAGGCCCCAGGGCCCTGTCTGCGGGAGAGCGGGTCGCACTGCCCACCCCAGCCTGGCTCCTGCCCTCTACCCAGCAGCAGTAGTGCTCCTGGGAGCCCCTGGCCAGGCCAAGCCCTCTCAACCCACTGTGGTGCCAATAGCCCAGGGCCGCCCCTGCCGTCCCAGGCCTGACCAGCAGCCACACTGACCGTCAGGCTTTAGCTACAGCATGCAGTCCTCTGGCTTCATCCTAAAGGTGGACTAGCTAAAGCTGGGCCAATCATCCCAGCCCTCTGGGAGGCTGAGGCAGGAGGCTTGCAGATTCAAGCCCAACCTGGGCAAATTAGTGAGACTCTTTGACAAGGGAAGTCTGAAACCTGATCCACAGTAATATAAAAAAAATACAAAAGATAGATTGCCAGAGTCGCAGAGAGGGCTGGCCAGGTCACACCGCAAGGCCAGGTTCCACTGAACCTGCAGTTCAGCGGAACTGCCTCCCGCTGACCTTCCAGATAATTTGAGGTGCACAGCCAGCCACCTTGGCCTGGAAAGGCGGGGACTTCCTGCCAACTAGAACAGGCTTTCCTGCCAAACTGAAGGGTGCTCACATGCTGGCAGCCTCCGCAAAGCAGGGCCAGCAGTTTTTCTGGGGACACGGAAGGAAGAGACCGTTCCTTCCATGTGGAGAAACCAAGGTCCCATGTCACCCAGCCAAAGACGGGAGGGTCGAGGTCTGTCACACACCAGACACTGAGTTTTCGGCTTGTGCTCACAACTGTCACTGAACTGTCTCCCCACACACACGTACACTCGATGTCCCCAAAATGCCACGTCTGGCATCATCAGCCGGCACCTGACAGATAGAGATCATTGACAGGCAACCCGGGCCAGTGCAAGGATCCACAAGTCTGCAGAGACCAGCGGCTCAGGAAAAGTGCACTCCGAGCTCTGTGCACCACGGCAGGCCCTCGACCTCTTGGACCCTCTGCTCGGTCACGTGAAGAATGAGTGCAGCGTCCCCCAACACGCTGGCCGGGGAGGAGCAAGGTCCCAGCTGCCACATGGTACCTGAGCAGGAAAATCACACCCCCATGGTGGTTCAGGGGGCCAGCGCAGTGAAGACCTAGTCCCATTTGGTTCATGCTCAGTGAAAAGACTGTCCTAGGGGCGCACGTGCAGTGGAGGCTGTACCTACTGTGGCACAGGGACACCCAAAGTCCCCCTCTGCTACCAAGAAAGGTACTACTGACCTGGAAGTTGCTCAGAGTGTGACTCAAGAAGCTGGGGTGTCAAGGATACGGATAGACGTATTTAGGAGCAATTAGGGAGGCTTCCTGGAAGAGGAGCAGCTCTGGAAGAACCCGAAGTTTTTGCAGAATGTGGAGAGATAGGGGACACCGTAGGCCTAGGGTTCCAAGAGCAGATGTCAGAGCCTGAAAGTACAGGGACAACCCAGCAAGCAAGGTGCAGCACAGGGACACATGAGGACCCTTGTGAGCACAGGGAAGGAACAGATAGCAGTCACCCGGCCTGGCGGTGCACACCTGTGATCCCAGCACTCAGGAGGCTGAGGCAGGGGTGTCACTGCGAGTGTGAGGCCAGCCCAGGCTACATAGTGAGACCCTGTCCCAGAGGATCAAAAGGAAATGTTGAAGTTTTTTTGTTTGTTTGTTTTTGTTTGAGACAGGGACTTACTGTGTAGTTCAGGTTGCCCCTGAACTCACTATGTAGCCCAAGCTGGCCTCAAACTTGTGGCAATCCTCTTGCCTCAGCCTTCAGAGTCCTGGGATTACAGGTGTGTGCCACCACACCTGGCAGAAATTTTAAAGTTTAACAACATTTGGGCTGGTGAGATGGCTCAGTGGTCTAAAGCACCTACTTAGAACAAGCTTAGCAAAGCACAGGGATCGTGGTTCCATCCCCCAGCACCACATGCCAGCCAGCCCGCTCCCTGGTGGGCTGAGCTGGCCACACACACATATAAATAAATAAATAAAATAAAATAAAATAAAATAAAAAAACATTTTAAAAACATTTCAAGACCCTGCCTCCTTCAGATCAGAGCTGCAAAGAGCAGTGGGGCTCTTCTCCCTGAGAGCCACCCTACTGAGACAGGAGAGGTCTGTGTCCTGGAAGTGACCTCTGGGGCACTGTTGTGCACTGTTGAGCCCTGACGTGGCAACCTTGCCGGTGTGGGGCTGGTGGACCCTGGTTGCACTGTTAAAGCTGTGCTGTAGAAATCCCCGCCAAGCCCCCCACAGTGACCACTCCGCTGCTCCAGCCTATAAACTCGCCCTACCTGAGTGGTAGCCCAGACACTCTACCCTGAAAACTGGCAGGCCTATGGTGAGTGATGGAAGAAGGCACCGCCCACAGGCCGGCAGGACAGACAGCCAACAGCTAGTTGAGTTAGACTGCAAAGATGCAGGCCAAGCTCTCTGGGGTCTACCAGCCTGGGGTCAAGGTCAGTGTCAGCACTCGTGGTCTCCGCTGACCAGTAATGACCCAGGTTCAGGCCAGGAGCCTGCCGCTGGGACCCACCAGGCACAGAGCAGGCAGCACTGGAGCCGCACACTGGGACACTTGTTATTGAATTGAAGTCAGCATAATGAGCTCAAGAGGCCCCATCACTTCAGACTCAGAAAATGAAATTAGCAAGCACAGACCCCTGCGATTGTCATCTAATCTTATCCTGGGGGAAGGACACTTAGCAAGGAAGGGCCAGGAGAACATAACCGAGCTGGCTACTCCATCCACAGGAAAGGCTCAGGAAGGTGTTGGTTGGAAAGAAAGCTGTGGAATGCCAGGTTGAAAAGATACAACCATGGGGCTGGTGAGATGGCTCAGTGGTCTAAAGCATCTACTTAGAACAAGCTTAGCAAAGCACAGGGACCACGGTTCCATCCCCCAGCACCACATGCCAGCCAGCCCCGCCCCCTGGTGGGCTGAGCTGGCCACACACACACACAAAATAAATAAATAAAATAAATAAAAATTAAAAAAAAAAGGATACAACCATGGTCCCAGCCCTTAATCAAATCCCCAGAAGGCAGGGAGTGCAGAGGGGTAGGAAAGATTCAGATTCAAGTCCTGGCCAGTCCACTTGTAAGCTACAAGAGCTGGAACTCCAAGAAGGAACAGCTGCGCATGGTGGCACACACATGTAATTCTAGCACTCAGGAGGCTGAGGCAGGAGGATTGCCAAGGGCTGGAGTCAGCCTGGGCTGTATAGCTAGAGCCCGTCTGAGAAAGCCTAATAAATAGGCCAGCTGGGCTGCTTGAGATCGCACATTAGACATGGAAATCATAGTAGTGCGTCCATTCCCCAGGCAAGGCTGGTTTATCGAGTAAATAAAATGGAGCTCCTCACTCCCTTTAATTGGATTATTCTTAAATCTAAAAACGGAAGTGCCGTCAATGTGGGTCCAGATGTTTGTGCAGTGGGGAGCTCTCTGCAGCAGCAAGAAGAAAGACCTCCTGCCCCTCACAGTGACACAGCGACCACTGAGAACTGAGGGTGAGCCCAGGCCAGGCACAGATGGTGACCTGGTCCCTCTCTGGCATGGGGATCAGGTGGTGGCCCTTAGTGGGGACAGGACTGGTGCGATCTCTGTCTGGGCCTAGAGTTTGAGAAGAGGTGGCCATCTGAGCGCTTATGGATGACGTTGGGCTCCCAGAGCAGCAATTAGATGTCCCCGGTGCCTGGACAGAGCATTGTCATCGGTGAGCTTAGTGTCTGAGGAGCCCTTGACAGAGAGGACCAAGTTGAGCTCGGACCCGGTACAGACGGTCAGGAGGGGAGCGGATGGGACAAATTCCCACTCATCATTCCAGGCCCTGCTCAATGCCACCACCACCAGGAAGCCTTCCCAGATGACGACACCCCCCTTTGTGTTCACTGCCAGCGTGGCGTCCCTTGGTTAGAATGGAGGGCTACGTCCCTCCATCCCAGCTCATAATCAGCCTTCTGCACACGTGCGCTCTTCTCACAACTGTCCTCTCCTGAAATGAATCCCCCCCCTCCACCTGACTTCTCTGTGTTGCTCCACTAGGGTTACGAGCTGAGGATAATCCTCACTCTGTAACTCAGACTGGCTTCGAACTTGTGGCAATCTTGGTGCCTCAGCCTCTGGAGTCCAGGGGTTAAGGCCCTTTGTAGCACCTCTTCCATGGTAGCACTTTGCCCTCCCAAGCACATGTGGCAGCTGAGCTCAGACACCCCATGCTGAACACACTGCATCTTTACACTCCAGCATCTAAAACTGCCCCCTTAAAAATGATATATAAGAAGTAAAGCCATGCTGTTATGTTGAGCTGTGGGGGACTCAGGTCAACAATTTCTGACATTGCCAGTGAAGCAGAAGACCCAATACTTTATGGGCTACTGGACTCTTTTAGATTATTTTGCTTAGTTAACACACCTATAATATTCAAATAATGGAACTTAACAGAAAAAGGGGATACAGATGAATGTGTATTTTGTATCTGTGTATTCAAGGTGGTTAGGATAGATATATAGTTACATTCTCTTAATGAGTAGAGAGATTTGTTCTAATGGTGTTTGTTGATAGGATATCATGTCCGCATCTTGTACAGCAATTAACCACTGGGAAGAATGTATGCGATGTGTTAATTATTGAAACTGTCCTACCAATTTGATTTGAAACTGTCTCATTGCTATTTGTTTATCAATAAAATTATGGAAAAAAATAAATAAAACTGCCCCTTGACGGGGCTCTTAAGCACATGCACTGAGGGGCTTCTTCCTAACTGCTCCAGGCCCATGGCACATGGGCAGGAAGGTCAGATGTGAGTGACGAGGACAAGGGAAGGGACTGCCCAGCAGGCGCTGGCCTGCCTCAGTCCCTGCCACTGTCACTGTCACCACAGCAAGGCACTGCTGGCTCACTCAGTGCCTGGCTCCGGCTCTGTGGGTTTTGTCCCAAAGACATGATTTCTATTTTGATTCCATGCAAAATTTAATGAAGTGGCTTTCAGACACCGCACAGCTGAGTGTTGGAACCAAAGCTTTGGATCCGAGGCGTCCCCTACACCTCCAGTCCCCTGGCTCCAGCCACAGCCCGCTCTCAAGGCACAGCTCAAACTGAGGAGACGAGCTCAAGGCCCAGGTGGGGAGCACTGCATGTGGCAAAAACCAAACCCCACATGAAATAGAAAATAATGGAACTCGAGGGCAGGCTGCCAGGGACAGGCCACCATAAAGTGAGGTGGGGAATGCAAGACCTCTCTGACCCAAAGTGGACCAGGCTGCATCCCATGGACCCTTCCAGTCTTCTCAATTCTCCCGCAGCCCTGGCAGCTCTCCCCAGTTGTCTGCACAGGTCACTGACACATCAGACTGTGGCCACATTATGTGCCACCTATGCAAATGAGAGTGGATGCTGGAGTCGCTCCCAGGGAACAAACTGCTCCGCCAACCACTACTCCTCCCTGGCCGAGTTGACCTCGTGGGGTCTGTGGAAGCCTTCTGCACAGAAGCCCTGAGCGCACTCAAGAGTGGGCTGGGTGACCTGCACACCTGCAGTCCCACCATTCTGGGAGCCAAGACTCCAAGTTCCACCCCAGCGTGGGCCACCGGGGGCAGGGGAGGGGCAGGTCAGCTTTTGGGCTGAGGGACACAGGGAGTCCCCCGCCCCCTCCTGGCCACAGAAGCAGCACCCTTGGTGAGATCTCTGTACCAAGAGGCTGGGTAGGGGATCCCTAGAGGGGTGGCCGGGTGTGTGTGTGTGTGTGTGTGTGTGTGTGTGTGTGTGTGTGATTATTCAGTTCTATTCAGGACGCCAAGTGGGCAGAAGCTAGAGGGAAAGCTGCTGGAGCACAGGAGGGCAAAGGGACAGCAGCTTCATCTCTCAGCAATCGCCACAAGAGACTGAGGCAGGAACACGGCTAATTTGAACCCAGCCTTGTGACTTGTCAGGATCTAGTCTTTTGTGGAAGAACAGGGGATTGACCTCAGATCTTTACACTTGCCAGGCAAGCGCTTATTCTACTGAGCTATCACCCACCCCCCACCCCACCCCCAGAATCTAGTCTAAAACTGCAGCAGGGGCAGAAACTAGATCCAGATCCAAACAGCTGTGTAGGGTACAAAGTGACTGGGACTGGTGGCCATAGGTCTGTGGGTGGAGAAAGTCACATGAGCAGCTGAACACACTAAAAGCCATAGGATTGCAGGCTTTCAGGCAGATAGGCGGGGCACTATGGGAGATGGGCTGAACAGAATGGTTCACTCAGAGGCTGAAGCAGGAGGATCTCAAGTTCAAGCCCAGCCTGGGAAACTGAGACCCTACCTCAAAATAAAAAGGCAAGGGCCGCCCAGATAGCTCAGCAGAGTAAAGCACCTGCTTAGGCAGACATGGGAAATGGCGTCCCGTGCTGGCTGGGCATGGTGGCCGATGCCTGTAACCCCAGCACTTGGGAGGCTGAAAACAGGAGAATCACAAGTCTGATCTGTGTAGTGAGACCCTGCACTAAACACAAAAAAATTTTTAAAGAAAAAGCAAATACTTTCATAAATCACTATGGAAATCATTTTTTCTTTTTTGGGAGGAGGTACTGAGACAGGATCTTACTATGTAGCCCAGGCTGTCCTCCAACTCACAGCACTCCTCCCGGCTCAGCCTTCCAAGTGCTGGGATGACAGGCATGCACTACCAGCCCTCACTGGAAATAGCTTTTCTCCCCGAATTAAAATGTAAATGTTACCAAAGAACTGACATAAGAACAGTTTTATTTTAATTACTTCACACTTGTGCAGTAATCAGTTTGAAGAGATTTCAAAAATGCTTTACACTAAACAGTTTCTCTTGTAACAGAGCAGGCGGCAGCCTTGGCGGGTGGACAGCTGAGCACCAGGTGGGCGCACAGCCAGAGCACCAGGCCCACAGCGGAGCTCTGCAGTAAGCAGGCTGGCGGGAGAAGGTCCTCTAACTTGTGCTTATTTGCTCCAGGGAATAACTTAAAAGATAAAAACAGGTCTTTTATTATGTGTTAGAAAACTGATGAGAAAAATAAAGGAAACCTGGCCAGGGTCCAACTACCAAAAAGGTAGACGCGGGGAATGGAGCGCTGTGCTGGCTGGGCGTGGTGGCATGCAGGAGGCTGAACACAGGGGACTCACTACAGGTCTGATCTGTGCAGTGTAGTTCACAGGCAGTGTGCTTTGGGGTCACAGGATCGGGGTCAGCCTCCCACGCCTTCCCATGAACATCTCGGCTCTTCACCCAGAAAAAGGCAGATTCGGTTCTGGGAGCTGTTTACATCTCCCTCTAAAAGGAGTATTTGACTGTCACAAATGTGAGCATTTCACACCACTAGTTTGCTGTGCATCTGAGAATTGGCCCCTTGACATGTATTTAGGCTAATACTAAAACGATGGTGAGCAATGTCTTTGTTAGATATTGTCTCATTAGTACTGGGTGACTTTTTCCAAAGTATGAATAGATAATTTTAGAAAAAAGTGTGTATAATAAAAAAGAAAAACTACTTGAAGACATATACACTGTAAATACACCAAGTCTCAACAGAACCTGCTCACAATCAGAGTAAGCACCACTTTTAGGCATACCTATCTCAGAAGAGGTCAATGGTGTCTCCTCTGAGCACTATATACTGGTAGAGATTGGCCCAGAACTGACTTCAAAAGTGGAGTGAATGAGGCCGGGGAGATGGCTCAGTGGAAAAAGTGCTTGCCTGGCAAGCACAAGGGCCTGAGTTCAATCCCCGGTTCC